AGCAGGAAAGGGACCAAGCTCTCATTGAAACACAGCTTTGAAAACACTAGCCAATGTGACGAACAAAATGACGAGAAACAAGTGACGAGTACATGTGTTTATGTTTTAAGTTCGATCTGTTTGAAAGATTTCCCTGAAGTCAATGTTGTTCTTTAATGACTTCTTTTGATTTCTTCCTTCCGAGGATAATTTGTCCATTGTGGATTAGCATCATTCCTTTGGAAATATCTTTAGAAACACATTCTTTGCTCAGCTATCCTGGTGTAAATGCAGAATAAGAGCACCAGCTTTGAAAGAATTGCTCCAGGTTTAAACTCATGTAAGTGAGATCAAAATCTGGCCCTGAAACTATTTAGATGCATCCTTCTCTCTCCAGAATCTTCCCTTCCACCTCTACCTTCAATTGGTTTTTCATTGGTGTGTCCTCTATTACACTTAAAAAAAAAAATCTGGTAGAAAATCAGCTGTCTGATCCTAAACTGTAAAATATTGCATTAGTCCCTGTAATACATCCCTCTCTCTAACAACTCCAGGACCTCAGATAGGCATTTTATAGGAATGTGCAGTTTCTGTCCATAGGGTCACTGCTGAATATAAATGATCTTTGATTAAATACAAACTGTGCTCCTTGGGCCCTTTAGAGGTGAACTGCAAAATTGCAAACCTTTATTAAGAAAATAATTGGACTCTTACAGGCAAACCAGTTGTAACATTACAAATACCCTGAGTCATAGCAGTCCAACCACAGCAGGCAACAAATCCTATATCAAGAAAAACAATTTACATCAAGGGCCCGGCTTTGTTTTTGTTTTTTCCTGCAAGGAATAGCAGCAGCATTGTTTATTGATGAGTAAATTCAATTTTTGTTCACACAAAACAGAAATAATTGGCCAGTGGAAAAAGAAAACATCCACATTGTAAACCACAGGGCAACAGATATATACACTCCCCCACACACTTATACATACACACACAATAAATGGCATGCAGCATGAGAAATAAACACCGCTGACTTAGATCCGATACTTTAATAAAACTGCATATTGTAACAGCATGAACTGCAGTTAATGATCTCAGGATTTTCTTTTTGTTTTTTTCAGTGTAGCTCTCAGAAAAGTAAAGGACCAATAGCCCTTGTTTCTGACAGGCATAGTGGAAGCAGTTGTTGCTCAAACTTCCAAACTCAAAGCTCTGCCAACATGCTTCAAACTCTGATCTGCGACAACCTCTGCTGTTCTGGTTCTGAACCAACAATTCTGACAAATCTCAGTATATAAAAATTAGAACTAACCTTAAAAAGAAACAAAACAAAACAAAACAAAATCCTCTCCCCTGGATCTGAAAAAATCCAGCAAGTTTCTTCAGAACAAGCCGCGCAGCACTGTTAAAAATCCCACTGTCCCAGAGTGCCCAGGTTCTCTTCTCTTCCTCTACCATGCCCATCACTGTGGTATCTGAACCCGTGATCATGGAGATACAAACTCTACCGGTACCAATCTTTCCGGGACCGAGATAACAACAAATCATAATGTACTTTACATGACCGCCTTGAAGCCCCTTTTTGAGATCAGGGCCCAGCTGGGCTTGGTGGTGTACATAAACATAGCAAGAAACAGCTCCCGCCCCAAAGAGCTTACAACCTAAACAGTTAAGACAGACAAAAGGTGGGAAGGAACGAAGGATTACTATCTCCATCTTACAGACAGTGAACTGTGTACTAACACTGAAACTAAACCTTTCCCACCACAGCAGGATTTTTAAAATTTCCATTTCCTGCTTAGCCTCAAGAATAGCAGCCCAGCAAGGTCCAGGAGACACTGCGACATATACAACTGCCCGCACATCTACACAAAGCAGAGGGGAGGAGGGGGGGGTCTCATTTTAGGTCTATCTACTCTCTGAGATTGTATCTACACTAGGATTTTGTTATTGCTAAAATTTCCCATCCCCAATTGATCTCCACCAATTACAGCAGCGGTTAGCTCCCAAGGGAGAGAGGGCTGCAGGGGACTGCCAGGGTTTTAAATACTATGTCATCTGTCCCTGCTCAGAGCAGGTCTGCACGAAGAAGGAAGATTCTGTTGGGGCTCCTAGTAAGAGAGAACACGGTTGGGAAGTGAGAAAATCAGGGCAGCAGGTGGAAAAGAGGGAGAGAAATAGTTTTTGAAAGAAAAAGAGGGAAAGGGATCTTAAGAATAAAGAAGTGAAAATCCAGGGGAGAGAATATTATGGGGCGAAGGGGCGTTAAACCCCAAAACTGGGGGAAATCCTCTTAATTATCCCTTCTAATTAATATAAAGCACACATGCAGATAAGGCTCTTTACAAGCATTCATTAATTAAAACTTCACGACACTCCCAAGAGGCAGGAAATATTATCATCCCCATTGTACAGAAGGGAGAAGTGACTGGCCCCAAACCACATTTTGAAGAGCTGGGCACAGAAGCCAACTCTCCTGACACCCAGCCTCAGGGTTTAACCACAAGCCCAAAATTTGCCTCCTGAAGGCAAGAAACACAGTCTCCTTCTTACAGGAGATAAGTACACTACCACCTGTATTTTTGGCACTGTAATTTCTAAGGCACTTGTCTGTTGACAGAAGCTATTGCATTTCTAATTGAGTCATCTATTGCATTTCTCTTGGCTCAAACTATCCGTAACATGCTTTGCCTACTGACGGAAATTATTATGTGTTTGCATCCCTTTCCCCTCCCATGAATTTTCATGAGGCTTTTTTAACTGCACAGCACATACCCTAAATCTATGACAAAGGAGACTAGACAGTTATTCCAGACTGAAGACTGAAACTGCTCTGCAGACAGATTCACAGAGGATATGTTCTTCTTCGCTGGCTGTGTAGAAGCTGCTGGCATGACCCTTCCACCAACAGTCCAGAGATTGTCTAGGTTGTTCTGAACTAGCCACAGTGGAGTAGCCAGTTTTCTGCTCCCTGTCCGACAGGGGACGTCCGTCTGTCTGATGAACTGAAATTGCAGTGTTTGGGCTAGGAAGACTAACCAGGCTTGTTAGGATATCAAACATTTGATCAGTTTCACAAAATTCTTGTAATGGAGGTAAGTATCATTATCCCATTATACAGATGGAGGGACAGAGGTGGGGAGGTCATGCAGTGAGTCACAGACAGAGCTGGGTCACTTAGGGCATTGACGTCAATAAGAATCTTTCCACTGACTTTAATGGGAATTGGATCAGGCCCTTCGTTTGTACTATTGTACAGAGGAGGAAGCACAAGTCCTCTGTAAAGTATATTGATACCGGAGATTAAAATCAGTGCCTTAGCTATGAAAGTCTTGGGAAGTAGACGGTACCTCACCCAGTGCACTAAATGCCCTAACAACAACTATGTGGGTGAAATGAGACAATCACTACGCTCTCCAATGAAGTCACACAGAAAAATGATAAGACAAAACACCCTATCACCCGTGGCCGATCATTTTTCACAAAGGGTCACTCCCTATCTGACCTCTCAGTCCTCATCCTCCAAGGAAACCGGCACAACACGTTCAAAAGATGAACCTGGAGTTTAAATTCATAACTTTGCTAGATACTCAAAATCAGGACTCAGTAAAGACACTGGATTTATGGCTCATTACAATAAGCGGGAACACACTGACCCTCCTTTGCCCGACAACTGCAGAGTTGTCAAGTGGCCACTTCACCCTGAATGGTCTCTTGCAATGTGCTAACTCCTTGTGCTTAATCTGTTCCACCTTGTAGACAGCTGTGACTCTCGGAGTACCTTTTTTTCCAGGTCTGAAAAAGAGCTTTGTGTAAGCCCCAAAGCTTGTCTCTCTCCCCAACAGAAGTTGGTCCAATAAAAGATATTACTTCACCCACTTTGTCTCTCTCAAATCTCAGAAGAGGTGGAATGGGAAGGTTTGGGAGCTGCAGAAATATGGCTCTGTAGTGTGTTTGACAGGTGATAGTGCAAACCACTGAAAGAGGGTGAGAGAAGGGAGAGAAACGTTCCCTGCCTGGGAGGCTGCTGAGCATTTAAAAGCATCGAAACAGACAATTTAAGGATGGGGGAGTATTTCTGGGGTCCCCCTCCCCCTTCCTACAAATAAATCACCGGTGGTGAAAACGGGTCCGGTGTTGAAGTCCTGGAAATCTCAGCTTTGTAGGAGAGTCAGAGGGAGCAGGGATATTCAGCAGAAGAGATGCAAGGCATCTTCTTTTATTCCCCAAGGGAGGAAATTGACAGCCACCTGTGTGTGCTGCTTCTCTGACTCCAGCCAGCTGCAACTCAGCAACAGGGTGGCAGCGGAAGGGAGCAGAAGAGAGCAGGCAGCTCCCAGACTATAAAACTGAGACCCAAGCCAGACGCTGTTCACACATCGCAGGCTGCATTCAGAAGGCACTACAGCACCTAAACAGAGACCAGACATTTTAACACCAGAAACCTGGCTTCTTTCAAGTTACCCTCTGGATGAAAAATCCAACAGATGGAGCATCTCTAAGGTGCATCTTCTTTATTTTTATTGCATTTTTAAAAAACAAGAAAGTAAGTTTTTTTTTCTTTCTGAAACTTAACAGCAGGGGGTAGGGAGGATTTGGGAGCTGACCAGCCCGGGCTGAAAGGAGATTTGGAGCTGGCTAGCGCAAGAGGGAGAAGAGGGATTTAGGAGCTTTCCAGGGGGATATTGCATCAAATTACTCAAGAAGAAGGTTTGAAATTGACCTGCCTAACAGGAGAGGAGATTTGCCATCAGCTAGTTGAGGACTTGCCTGAAACCGAGAGAGAGAGAGAAAGAAAGGAAGGATTCACTCAGGGTTGGGGAAAGCAACAGGGGAAATGCCCAGCTCCAGGATCTGGGGGTGAGGAAATGGAGCAGCTCCAGCTCAGCTCGCTAGAGGGATTCATTTTAAACACGCCACTTTGAAAAAGAAGTTTGCTGGATCCACGGTTGTCTCCAGCCCCAGCAGCTCTCTTCCCCCCTTGCCAGCCGGCCGCCGCCTCCCGCCCAGCTCTCCCAGCAATGGAGCCGGATTGGGAAAGGAACAGCACTCCCTGCAGCGACCCTGGGGACGTCCTGACCCAGGTGGGGGATCTCAACTGGACTCTCTTCCACACCCGGGATGAGGAGCTAGCCCGGGCCGAGATTGGGGTGCTGGCCACCATCCTGGCACTTGCCGCCGTGGGCAACCTGGGGGTGCTGCTGGCCATGTACCGGCTGAGGAAGAAGATGAGCAGGATGCACCTCTTCATCCTGCACTTGGGGCTGACCGACCTGGGGGTGGCGCTTTTCCAGGTGCTGCCCCAGATGATCTGGGAGGTGACCTACCGCTTCCTGGGGCCTGACCTGCTCTGCAGGGCTGTCAAGTACCTGCAGGTGCTAAGCATGTTCGCCTCCACCTACATGCTCATCATGATGACTCTGGACCGCTACATGGCCGTGTGCCACCCGCTGCGCACCCTGCAACAGCCAGGTAGGCAGGCCTACCTGATGATCGGGGCCACCTGGCTGCTCAGTGGCCTGCTCAGCCTGCCCCAGGTCTTCATCTTCTCATTGCAGGAGGTGCACCAGGGCTCCGGGGTGCTGGACTGCTGGGCTGACTTCAGGTACCCCTGGGGCGCCCGGGCCTACATCACCTGGACCACACTGTGTGTCTTCGTCCTGCCCATGGGCATCCTCACCATCTGCTACAGCCTCATCTGCCACGAGATCTGCAAGAACCTCCGGGGCAAGACGCAGAGCGGAGCAGAGATGGGAGCGGAGTGCCGCTGCAGCCAGGCCTCCCGGGTGAGCAGTGTGCGCACCATCTCCAGGGCCAAGATCCGCACGGTGAAGATGACCTTTGTCATCGTGCTGGCCTATGTCGCCTGCTGGGCGCCCTTCTTCAGCGTGCAGATGTGGTCGGTGTGGGACGAGAACGCCCCGGATGACGGTGAGTGATGGGGGGCAGGGGGAGAGCCGGGCTGCAGCGCAGGGGCACCTCATACAACTTGTCAGCTGCAGCCATCCCCAGGCCGGGGTGTGTACATGGGCATCCAGGGCAGCTACTGGCTTCTAAAGCATGACTCCTGGCCCCAACACACGTACGTACACACACAAAACACGCTCATACCAAACATGCAGCACACACAGAAACAACACACTCATGCAGAATACAATATATACATCCTCAGAACACACAAACAGCACACGTATGCATCCAGAATACAATATACACACACAACACACTCACGCAGAACACACAGAGAATACACACACAGCACACCACAACTAAGATACACTCACATACTCAACCCTCCAATATGCAAAAAAAATTTGTTCGCACACAAATGATAAACACAGCAAAAAGATAATCTCTCTGTTGGTTTGTGATTATTTACACACATTCTACACACACACACAAAGACACAGTCTATGCGCACACATATACACATTAAATGCACATCCAGTCACAAAGATATACTCACATATTCATTCACAAAGCTATATATACTCTTCCATACACAGACACATTCATTCAACAAAGGTACATAGTCACACCCACATAGACAGACCCACACGTACTCACATAGACTGAGCAACACACATTTTTACAAAATAAAACAGATGTCTGTCTGTCTGTCTCACACACACACACAGTAATTTATTAAACTGATGATTTAATAATCATTCATCTCCATTTAGCTTAGAACGAACAGTATGCAGGTGTGTATTGTGTGTCTCTGAGTGGATACAGATACCTAGAATAGTGGTTCTCAACCTTTCAGTCTGACACACAAAAATTGGCTGGAAAATTGTCCCACTGTCGTTAGAGTTGGTATGGCAACACCCATTTTTTCATGTTCTCTGTGTATATATATCTTCCTACTGTATTTTCTACTACATGCATCCAGTGAAGTGGGTTTTAGCCAATGAAAGCTTATGCCCAAATAAATTTGTTTGTCTCTAAGCTGCCACAAGTACTCCTTGTTCATTCCACTATTCACTGTGGTACAGATTATTTCCAAACTGATCAGAGACGCATTTCCAACAAACCACCATTTTTTGTAATCAATAAAAATGCTGTTTTTTTATGTTAAAATGTTACCAATGTCACACTGCAAAATGCATTTAACAGAATCCCAGTGCAAACTGCTAACATGTTATCCCTGATGCAAAATCTGCTGGCAATACTTTGCTTTCTCTGTTCTTGCTTCAGAGCTTTGCCGAACTTCGGATCGACTAGTTCTTCAGACATAAGCAGTTTTTCTGTGTTGCTTTCATCACAGTCATGGCAAAGGGTGACATTTTACAAAGATATATAGATGCAAAAGGCAGCAGCATTTTTAGGAGGAGATCATTAGAAGCATGTATGAGATTTTATTTATTTCTATGTAAAATAATAAAGATTCCGATCCAAGGCTCTAGATGCCCTAACATAATTAATCATACAACAAATACAATTAAATTAAACCCAATGGGACTTGTGCTCCTAAATCCTCTAGGTGCTTTTGCAGATCTCCCCCTTACAGCCTCACACCTTATATCTGGCTATTCAGTAAGGGTGAAATGCAGCCCCCGGGCAAAGGGACAGCACAAAACCCCATAACCTAACTCTAAAGGCTGAAGAGGGTCTTAAGTAGTGTAGAAAGCCAGCACAAGGGTGAATTTCACCCTTAAGGCATAGAGCCACCGCTGTCACAGTGTCTTGAGTTTGAAATTCAGTTCCCATTGAGCAGTCAGTCCAAACTCCAATCACCATCTCTAGCTATTTAATGTTCAGAGAAATAGAATTAACAACTGCTTCACTGGAAGCAGTTTTCACCTAGTCATTCTTATTAAAGTCTTTAATTTCAGACACTGGAGCAGAAGACGAGAACGTCATCTTCCTACATGCCTAACAACAACACTGCCTTTCACAGGGTCATTAGGATTTCAGCCTCTAAATGAAAGCTTTGACAAAGTTCAAATGAGACTAGTTACATTGTTTTCTAGTCTACCCTCTTCATCCCAAATTGTGTTTTCTCAGACTTTGTCTATCGTTTGAATCCGATCCCTGTAGTGACAAATAAATCCTATTGAATGTATCAACTCTCCGCCGGCTATGCTGGATTACACAGCCACTCAGGGTCAGAAACCAGTGGGTCAGCTGCTGATCTTTCCTACAAGGTCATAAATCCAGAATCACTCCACTGGAAATTAATGGAATTACTCCAAATTTATTCCGGTGTAAGCGATACCAGAATCCGGTCCAGTTTCTGCACAATGTTCCCTTCAAGAAATAAAAACATCCTGGGCCAGATTCTGATTTACGCTAAGACCCCTTTACTCCGCTCTGACAGGGGGGTAAAGCTAATCCATGCCCACATTAAGGCTCCTTTATACTGCTAGAGCAGTGTAAAAGGGACCTTAATGCAAATGAGAGTCAGAGCCTTCGAGTTCAAGCCGCTGGTTTAAAACTTTGTATTAGAATAGCCACTGTACAATGATATAGACAAGCAGCTACTAGGTGACTTTCGATAAACCTAGGTAGAAAAGAAGTTGCTGGTGCTCAGCTCCTATCTCCTCACAAAGTCCGTAGAAAAACCTTTGACAGGGCCCTTGAGCTGATAAAATATACCAGTGTCACAGCAGCTGGTAAGTTGCACCTTAGGAGATTTTCCTCTGTGCTGCAAGAGCCTTTCTGTGTATGCTGCAGCAAGCTCCCTCTATACACTTGATCCAAAGCCCATTGAAGTCAGTGCTCGCTTCGGGGGTCTTGGAAAGCTTTGATCCTAGCAACATGGTCACTCCCCAGGCCCTGACAATAGCTGCTTGCACCATCAGTCTGGACAGAATAACACCGTTCCCACTGAGCTCCAGACACCCTTACACACGCTGGGTGGCACTTGACTCACGGAGTGGTCCATAGACTTCAACGGGATTGTCTGAAGAGTGGAATACGTTTCATGAGTAAGGGTGCTGGAATCTGGCCCTGCATGTTATTTTCTTGTTAAACAAATAATGGAGAAGGCTAAGCATTTGCTCGCCCGTCGTATTTGTAGAGAAAAGTCTGCAGAGCCAAATCACTGCTGTTATTAGAAATCCAGCCAAGCCCAGGACTTCTGCCCCTCCAGCCGCATGCATAGATTCCTCAAAATGCAATGCCTTGTGCAATCCCAACTGAGTGGAAAAGATGCACATCAGGAGCTGCTCCATTGTTTTGGCATGTTACAAGGCTGTGGGAGAGCGGGGAGGATTTTAACTGTGTCCACTGTTATGATTTCAGTGACCTCCATAATGGACAGCAGGATAAAGCTTCTCATCTATCTGCTGGGGCTGCGTAGACCTAGCAGGTCTTTAACATACAGCGTTGGATGGCGTTCAGGCTTTTGCCGACACAGTTGCAGACTTTTGAAAAGGTGCCTTCTGATTGCTGAGATCAGATCACCTCCTCAAAGTGTGCGGTGAGGCTCCTGGGAGGGGACTGATGGGGTGTTTGCAGGTGTCTGTGACAATTGTTTAAATGTAGGATGTCATAAGCCACTCTCTGGTTACATAACACACACACAATGGCTTTGGGAAATTGTTTCAGCCAGTAAATGGAAAGCCAGGCACCAGCAAGCTCTTGTCTCAATATTTACAGGCTCCTGATGGTTCCACAGGCACGTCTCTTCCCTCTTCTGACATGGGAATGGAGCTCTTTGCACTCACTTGTGTCTGGAAGTTAGGCACCCAAACAGGGTGGACATGCCACACACTGCCAGATCACACCACACATGTGGGTTGACTTACAGCCTCAACCCGCACAGGTGCAGGCTATCCCCGCAGAGTCCTGGTTGGGGCAGTGTTCTCCTGTAATGTGCATGGATGTTCTTATTTGTTTGCCAGTCACACCTGCCCAGCTGAGCTTAGAGCCCCACTGTGCAGGGTGCTGCACAAACACACAGTCTCTGCCCCATAGAGCTGATCGTTTAAATAAAAGAGGCAAAAAAGACAAAGAGGGGAAGGGACGTGATTTGCCCAACAAATCAGTGTCAGAAGCAGGAATAGAACCTACATCGCAGGCCAATGCCTTGTCCACTTGGCCATGCTGCTTCTGTCAATACACCGCTGGAGAATTAATAGGTGTTTTTAACATGTTCTTTGCAGAGTCCACCAACGTGGCATTCACCATCACCATGCTGCTGGCCAGCCTCAGCAGCTGCTGCAACCCCTGGATTTACATGTTCTTCAGCGGGCACCTCCTGCACGACATCCTGTGGTACGTCTCCTGCTGCGGGAGCTTCCGGCCTGGCCTCAAGAGGCAAATCTCCAACGGGAGCCTCTGCAGCAGGAAAACCACCATCCTGACTCAGAGCCACCAAACCGACACCCCTGGGATCCAGCTGCAGCAGGGGGACTTGAAAGATTTCTACCAGTCCTACGAGGACACGGTGACGGAGTCAGGTGTGCTCTAGAACCCCGACTCGCGCCAGCCGCCACTGCAGGATGCACACCTCTGTGCCATCAGGCGATCCTCGCTGCTTGCCTGTCACTCAGAACTTTGAATGGACAAGGGACTAGAGGGGACACATGATGCCTCCTGGGTGGGGTGGAGGACGGGGGAAGGGCAGTCTCTGTGCATCGGGCAGAATTTTATTCTGCAGGAACCTGTGTGTTTAACCCGGCAAGCACCACAGTGTCTCTCTTGTCCTTATGTGCTTTGCTACTGTGCAGAAGCAGCATCTCTTTCACTCTCTTTCCCATGCACAAAGGAAATCAGGTCTGGTCCCCCTTCCACCTGCCCTTGAAACACCAGGAGAAGCAGTCTAGTGAAAAGATATGGTCAGTGTGCCTCTGCAATAACAGGGCTCCTCCTCCCCACCTTCACGGCTGTTCTACCTAGAAGTGGGTATAAAAACAAGCATCACTGAAGCTTTTACAGGGCCTTACTGAAGCAAAGCTTCCATTGAAGTCTTGGGGGCCTGATTCTCACTGACACCGATCTCTGGCGGGAGTCAGCCCACTGATGTCAATGGGGTTCCCCCGCGGACAGTGAGAGGCGAATCAGGCCTATAGACTACCATGGACGCTTTGTCTGAGTAAAGCAGCATTTGGTGCACTGCTCTGAAGGGTCCCTGACACTGAGCTGTACATTCGCAGATCAGTGCAGGAACATATTACAAACCAGCCCCCTGCCCTGAGGGCATGGCAGTCCAACGCTGGGGGGCCACAGTTCAGATCCACATGGGTGGGCCCTTATGCCTGCTCAGATCTGATTGCAGGATCAGTTCAAGGCAACAAGTCTATTCTTGCGCCATTCAATTCAACAGCCAGACTCCCCTTTGCTATAATAGGAACAGGAGCAGGCTCTCAGGGCCAAGCCCTGCTGTCACTTACACCACTGTCAATCCAGAGTAACTCCCCGGGTGTCCATGGGATGGTTCCACGTTTCTTTTAAATAAGATGTCAAATAAAGTTGCTGTAAAGTGACCGGCGCTATTAGCAAGAGGCAGCTCAGCTAAGCCTGCCTGAAAGTTCATTAAAAATAATTACGCAGCCTATGGACATGGTTCGCTCAGAGAGAAGAAAATTCAGCTCCTCCAGGTCAAAAGGTACCTTTTACAATGTGTTAGCTGCTCACTCTGTTAAGAGCTGTGTGCGATGCTGCCCTCTGCTGCAACGCAGGAGTAAAGAGTTCCCTCTGCAGACTAACTCCATTGAGGTCACTGGAGTTTTATTAATTATTGTTATTTATATTATGGTAGCGCCCAGGAACCCCAGCCATGGACCAGGACCACTTTGTGCTAGGCGCTGTACAAACACAGAACAAGAAGACAGGCCCTGCCCCACAGCACTTTATCTACTGCTGTAAAAACATTGTAAGCGAGCAGGGAGTCAAGCGAAGCGTTTAGGAGCCTGATTCACTGTCACTTTGCCCCTTGTGCAGCCATTTACCCCCGTGTAAAGGGTGTGTAAAATGCCACCAGATCAGAATGGTGGCATTTCACAGTGACATTGCACTGGTATGAATGACGGCACAAGAGGCAGGATAATAGAGAATCAGGCCTGGTGAGTTCTCTCCCTGTGCACGCTCTTCTGGTGAGTTTGTTCTTTGTATGTAATTGATGGCTGCAGAGCTTTATCGCCTGGCACCTAATTTGGCTGGAACCCTGGATGTCTGTCTCAGGGGTGTATGTGTGCCATCTATTGACGGGTTGTTTTAGGGCAGATCCCATCGACAGCCCGCCTTGCTTTTTTTTTTGTACCGTTCCACAAGCGCAAAGCAAATGGCAGTTTTGCTGTGGTCAAGTAGCTGATGCCCAGATCTTAGGTAATCTTCATTATCCCTTTAAATTCTGTAAACCCGTTTCTCCTGGTTTTTAGCAACATTAGGCACCTGTCAGGGATGGTGTGGATAATACTTAGTCCTGCCTTGAGTGCAGGGGACTGGATTAGAAGACCTCTCGAAATCCCTTTCAGTCCTATGATTCTATTATTCTATTTCTCAGACTCTCAAAAAACCCAACCAAACCAAACCAAACAAACCACCAACAATCCATCATGTCTTTTCCAAGAGAGGTCAACTCAGAATGACAGGGTCATGAAAACAACATCCTATTCCCTGTGCCACAAGGCGCAAGGTTACCTGATGCACGTGATGCCTGTATGTGGCCACAAGTTATTACATAGCCGCAGCTGGCCTGTGAAATTACCATCAGTGGGTTTGCAGTGTTGTTGTGGCCATGGTCCCAGGATATGAGAAAAGGGGGATGGGGTAATATCTTCTGTTGGACCAACTTCTGTTGGTGAAAGAGACAAGCTGTCGAGCTCCACAGATCTCTTCTCTGGGATCCCTTGGTGGGAAAGTACTGGTCCTCCCTGCAGAAGAAAGGGTTCCCTCTTTCCACCCTGCAAAGGTTAGTTTTGTTTTGAGGTGCAGCTTGCCTTAGTGCTTAGAGTAAACCTGCCTTGTAGAGACCTTTGGCTGAGCTCAGTAGTTCACATGGTCATCCTGCTCCTTTGCTGTGTAACTTCCCAAAGGTACTTTGCTGCTGTAGGGAGCACCGGTCATGGTTCCCGAGAGGGACTTCTTTCCTCTGAGTCTGCATAAGCCCCGGCCCATCTGCCACACAGGATGCTGTCCTGTTAAGAGATGTAGTTGTTCATGTTCTGGGGTCCTGAACACTTGTGATCCTTAAAGGGCTAGGTGGAGGAGTCCTGGCTAAATTCCAACTAATCTAGACAGATCCGGCCTCCCTAAATGCATTGTGCCATTTCAGCTGGATTCAGCATTCTTATTTCTTGGCCTCGGCTGTTGTGCGGTCGTGCTGTGCGCTATTAAACAGCTGCTGCATTTCATCTCAGAGGTGGCTGCATCCCAGTGGCCGATGAAGAGGAAACTGTACTATGCATAGGTTGTACATCAGTTAGTTAAGCTCGCAAAGGGCTTGAAATGGCCCATGCAAAGCTCGTAGAGTGCTCGGTGGGGACTTTCAAAAGGACAGTTCAGGGGTTAGGGTGCTAGCCTAGGACTACCTGGGGTCTCTGCCACAGGCTTCGGCAAGTCATTCAGGATCAGACCCTCAGAAGGTACCTGGGCACTCAACTCCCATTGATTTCAGTGAGAGTTAGAGCCTTAGCCTCTGTAAAAAAATAGGGGACAATAACACTGCCTACTATACAGGGGCATTGTGAGGCTAAATACATTAAAGATTGGGAAGCGCACCGATATTACAGTCCTAGGGGCCATGTACTGACCCTAGATAGGTATCCCACACCCATTGAGTGAGGCACATCATTCCTTTAGGCTCTGTTGAAAACTCCAGCCTACATATAGAAAATGCCAGATTACATTACACTTCTGCGGTGACCTCTCCCTGCGTTGCCTTGACTTCAAATCACGTCTCTCCCTTTTTGCCAGCTCTTCTAGAAAGAAAACCAACAAATCCATCTCTCTTTTTGACATCTACCCTTTTAATTCTGTAGCCCCATTTCTCCTTAGCCTTAACATCATTTCCCAGTCTCCAAACCGATCCGTGATGTCTTTTCCTACAGGGGACAACTCAGAACAACAAGATCATGAAGACAAAAAAAAAAAACCCTCTGAACTCACAAATCGATACGTCTCAAAACCCTCATTTAAAAAAATAAATAAATCCCAAGTTTGACTCTGTTTGAAATGTATTGGGGGCTGCTGGCAGTTCCTTTGCTCTGACTGCAACTGCTGCCAGCCGCTAGGATAGATAGTGCACATCATCGTAGGAAATAGAACCCTACTGTATCACAAAGGGACCCACGTCTTCGAAAGCTTTTATTGTTTCGCTTTATTGCTTGCCAAATTCTAAGTGGCACAGAATAGAAGAGGTGGCAACATGCCGCATTTTCAGCAGTCACTTGCTAACCAATAGGTTTTCCATGAGCATTTGGTATTTATTCCTTACGTGTTACTCAAGGCAACTGTGTTACGTGGCAGACAGAGCCCTAGTGTGGCGTTATTTAGGCCTCCATTCAGCAGAGCATTTAACTCCATTCACACATTCACCAAAGAACACGTTTATCTTCTGAAGTTAAGCATGTGCTTAGGGGCTTTGCTACTAGGATGCTAGCACCTTCTTAAAGTTAAGGCTCTGCTTAACTGCTGGGCTGAATCAGGGCCTTCCTGCAGAGCATCACCTGGGGAAAAGCATGTCCTGCCCCTTCCGGGTAAATCTCCCAGCCCTGGTGGACAGAATCAGGCTAGTGGGGTGCACACTAGTTCTCAGAGCTTTAAAGGTGCGGCTCGGGTTTGTCTGTATCTTTAATAAAAGCGTAAAAGGACTTGTAATGGTGTGTTTGCCATGATACTAAGCAGACTGAGCATATCAGACCCCAAATCTTGTTTGAAACTGTTTAATGCAGGGCAGTGACTGGGTTATATCAATACCGCTGGCCTTTCTAAATGAATACAAGGCCCCTCTTGAAACTATCAACCATCATCAGCTCAAGCCCTCACTCAGAATTTCAGAGATCACGAAATACCTCCCCTGGAAGCCTTTGACAGGCAATACTTCCCCACTCGAAACCACTGAGTCTGTGAATGAAACAAGGAAAACTTCACTGGGGGAAAGAGAACACAGCATCAATCCAGGAAAACACAGGAGCAATATAGTTCAATGATATATATGCGAAGTCAAACACTCTCCCACAGTGACCTGAGCAGTAGTTTACTAACCCCACATGCTGGTGTAAATGCCCTACAGGCAGGGCCGGCGTTTCCACTAGCCGACCCTAGGCGGTCGCCTAGGGCGGCAGGATTTGGGGGGTGGCATTTTGGCTGCCCTTGGCGGAAATTCGGTGGCGGGGGGTCCTTCCGCTCCGGGTCTTTGTTGGAAATTCGGTGGCGGGTCCTTCACTCGCTCTGGGACCCGCTGCCGAAGTGCCCCAAAGACGCGGAGTGGAAGGACCCCCGCCGCCGAATGCTCAGAGGAGGAGCGCT